TATGGTATCGATGAAGCAGATATCTACAACTTTGATGAGACTGGGTTTATGATGGGCGTTATCTCAACTGCTATGGTTGTAACAAGCTCAGACGGGCGGGCAAAAGCAAAGAAGGTACAGCCTGGTAATCGGGAATGGGTTACAGTAATCCAAGGCGTTAGTTCTCAAGGTTGGGCAGTACCACCATTTATCATTGTTGCAGGCAAAAACCACCTTACATCTTGGTATGAGAATAGTGGATTTTCAAGCGATTGGGTGATTTCTGTTACTGAAAATGGCTGGACTACAAACGAGAGAGGCATGGATTGGATTCAGCACTTTGAGAAGCATACAAAGGCCCGGAGTGTTGGTGGTTATCGCTTGTTAGTCCTTGATGGTCATGAGAGCCACCACTCAGATGAGTTTGAGGAGTACTGCAAGGAACACAACATTATTACGCTTTGTATGCCTGCTCACTCTTCTCATCTACTCCAGCCACTTGATGTTGGCTGTTTCGGCCCGTTAAAGCAGGCCTATGGTCGGCAAATTGAAGATATGATGCAGGCTCATATTTCTCATATTACAAAGGATGACTTCTTTCCTGCCTTCCACGCTGCATTTAACACTACAATGACGGAAAGTAACATTCGAGGCGGGTTCCGAGGGGCAGGGCTTCTTCCATTTGACCCTGAGAGAGTGATATCTACACTTGATCTTAAGTTAAGGACACCAACGCCTCCAAGCTCCCGCCCAGGTACTGCTCAACCTTGGGTTTCTCAGACACCAAACAACCCAATTGAAGCTATGTCACAGTCTACATTTATTAAAACTCGGATTTCACGCCATCAAAATAGCTCTCCAACCTCAATCTATGCAGCTGTTGACCAGTTTACAAAGGGTGCATCGCAAATAATGCATCAATTAGCACTGCTAAAGGGAGAGAACCAAAACCTACGACAGGCAAATGAAGTACTAAGCAAGCGCCGGAGAGCTAGGAAAACATGACTACAGCAAGGAGGATCACTTAGTCAACAAGGGGCGCAAGAGCTACAGGATGAGAGGGATGTTGTGCAGCAGGTAGAGCAGGAAATAAGGGCAAGCCGTGGTCGGAAGCCAAGGGAAGAAACCCGTGCCCGTCGCTGTGGCAAGTGTGGTGAGACTGGGCACAATGCGCGCACGTGTCAGATTGTAATAGACACCTCTGAGGAAGAGGACTCCGAGTAGTTTCAATTGATTTCTAATGTTGTGGTAGATTTATCGCAATGTTTGTCGTGAGGGTAGATAATTTTGGCGCTTTCGCTTGTTTGGCGCTTTCGCTATACATGTACGTTAAATTAAAATAAGATCTATATACCCTATTGCCGTGATACCCGTAGCCCCTAAACCTCCCATATGCGATGTCGCCGTTGCCAATTCCTCCACTGACACCCTATCCGACGCCCTATCCCACCCCCTATTCCACCTATTCCCCCGTAAACCCCCCTAAATCCTGTACTGCCATAGCCCCTATTGATGGGGACGATGGCAATGCCGCGACTTGTGGCCCGGCTCCCCGCAAGTCGAGCATCGACTTCTTACAGGGTTGGGGACAGTAGCAATCATGGCCCCAAGCGGGAAGAGCTTCGTCCCTCTGAACCCGCTCTTTCCTCAGCCACCCTCGTAGAACCCATGTCAGGGGGTTTGCACGGGCTGTCCGCAAGAATGGACAATCTGGTTATATCAACTGGTGGCAATGGGTTAAGGTAGGCAGCTCTCCATTAAGCCGCCGACATTGAGACAGGTAGGTAGTCTCCTACCTGTCGGCCCGTTGCTCATATCAAAACAACGGTGTGTCCACATAGGATGCCATTAGCTTGATATTGGCAGCAGGAGCAAGTCCCTGCCATGATATCAACAAGGTGTACAGCCTGGTTTGGCTGTACAACCCGTCTTTGACAATGAGCACCCACAAGCTGTCGTGAGGAGTGGCTCTGCAGCGCCAGCCACAGTCATCCTCCAGGCAGACAAAGATCGCCCGGTCTGATCCCTCTGGAGGGTCCAGAAGCAGAACTTCTTCTTGACGGCCCAATTATCCAAGTCGTGGATAAGGGCGTCAAGGTCAAGATACTCAGCGCCATTGGTAGGCACTAAGAGTTCAGCAAGGGAGGACATCTCAGCTGAAAAGGGGCCTCTTCGGTGAGGGCTTTCAGAATACAGTCCACTCTCACCAAGACGATGTCGGATTAGTCGATAACACCACTAAGTCAATATTTTTTTCAGCACCAATTGATTTTCACACTCAATTCTCGATATTCGCAATATTGACCTTCTAACCTTTAATTATTGACTTATCCAACTCTATTATGCCTCAAAAACACACAATTACACTCGAACAGCGCTGTGCCCTTCGACATTGGGCACACAAACAGCACCCGAAACCCTCCCAGAAAGCCTGCATCAACTGGTTTCTTCACGAATTCAGTCAATGGACAATATCAGATAGCCTCAGTGACCGCTTTAAACATCTCGACAACTGGACAACAACTGGACAACAAAATCGAACTGGCTAATGGCCTCAACTTGAACAAATTCTCTACGACTTTCAGCAACGAATTGATAGCTGCGGTTGGCTTTACATCTGGTGATATACTTCAAGTAAAGGTGAGGGAGATCTGGAGAAGGCTTCCACAGTATGCAGATCAGCCAGTTACCGACTTTAGCTCTGGCTGGCTTACACGATTTAAACCATGACATAATATTAAGATACATACACGTCACGGCGAAGCAGGATCTATCCCAGAATTAGTTGAAGAAGAGATGAAAGGGCTCCGGACAATTGCTAGGGAGTGTGAGGAGGAGAATATCTATAATATGGATGAAACTGGGCTCTACTGGAAGATGATTCCGTCTCGACGACTAGCATCGCAATCATTACCTGGATTAAAGAAGGAAAAAGCTCAAATTACACTTACTCTTTGTACAAATGCTTCTGGATCTGACCAGCTTCCAATCTGGATTATCGGCAAAGCAAAAACACCTCGATCTTTACGCAATATTAATATATCTACAATGGGAGCTGAGTGGAGGTGGAATAAAAAGGCTTGGATGAATTCAACAATTATGATCGACTGGCTTCAAGCATTTTATCGACATATTGTCATACTGACATTCATTGCACTCAGTTTGCTATCAAACTCAAGAGCAAACTTGGAAATCTCCTCCTCAAACCTACAAGTCACTATACATATTTTGGCTTATCACACCAACAACAAGAGCAATACTACTCAACGATTGCTACAACCATCTATGATTTATTACACGTCATCGCTCCTTAGTTACTGGGCCGATATTACCACATAGTATATCTCTACAACCCTCTATGATTCATTACATGACATCACTCATACTACCACATGACATATCTCTACCAACTAGAGGCCTAGGAGCATGAACAATAGCTCTAAAAGCTCCTACGAACCTCTATGATTCATTACATGTCATCGCTCTTTAGTTACCCACAAGATTGGTTAAGTTATGACATAGTTTGTCTATAGGGGTACTCTGACCTTGGACCTCCTTTTACTTCCTATAGGCTACGAACCTAAGAGATGGTTCTATGGGATTCTCTTACGTCGACTACAGTTACCAAGCCTGGTTAGTCATGGAAAGTCTTGGAAAATGAGAGAACTACACTCCTTTAGCATAAATAGGATTGCCCTTTCCTTAAGAAACAAGCAGACAATACAGTAAATCGACTATCACATACTTCCACGTCTTTTCCAAGCTTCCAAGCATTGATCTTGTTACTCCTTGTTTCTGAAAAGTCAGTGAGGTGTTAACCTCTGACTTACCCCTGAGTTCCCAGACTCAACATTTGTTGCAACTTGTCTGAACCACTTCACTACATCACACACCTGATTGCTGCGTTGTGGAATAGTCTAAGCTACGACCCTTTGGCTATGTTTTCTAAGACAGTGTGTTGTCTTAGTAAATTCATCCCTTCCTTGGGTGGCTAGATTCTCACATCTGGTGCACCCACCATTACACATATTGGCTTTATTCGACAAGTCCTTCTTACAATGGACAACTTTTCTGCACACATATCTGTCCCCCACCTCCTAATATTCTGATCCGTTGGCTTCCAGCTAATAGTACTAGTCAATTCCAGCCTCTTGCATTATTCAATCTCTTAAAGCTTATTACCATCGACAATGGCTCTCTTTTATGCTTGAATGTTATAATTCAAATCTGGATCCGATTAAGCAAGCAAGATTACGACTGTCAATTTGCTGGATCTTACGAAGCTGGAATCAACAAGTTTTACAATCAACTATATACAATTGCTTTCAAAAATCAACACTTCTTACAACTCTAATCACTCTTCCAACCTCAATTACACCAACAGACCTTTCACAACTATACGAACAAGTTATTCAAGCTGGCAATATACATGATTCAATGGCTATTTTGAACTTTTTAAATCCTATCAACAAGCAAATCAACAATATAGAAGTTACAACAGATGAGGAGGGTATACTACAGGAGATTTTGGATGAGCATCTTAGTGATCCTACTCAAAATGATGAGCAAGAAGAGGAGCCTGAGACTGAATAGGCTGGTTATTCAGCCTCTGATGCTCGCAATGCCCTTAAAGTTCTTATTGAGTATACGGAGTGTCAGGATGCTTTCCCAGCCAATCACCTCAGGGCATTAGAGCATTTGGAGGGCGAAATTGAGGCAATTCAGCTTAATTCCTTGGTTCAGGAGACATTGGATAGGTGGATTACATAATACTTGGCATTTCAATATAACGATATTTACACACGTCACCAATTGTATCGACTTAACGGGAGTTGACTGTAGGGGGCGATGGGGAATGGCGACGGCGAGGTGGCGACAGCGAGGTCGAGGCAGTGAGCCGGCTTGGTGGAGGAAATCTATTAATAGTTAGCGTCTGGTATATCAATCTTTACAGGGCTTGTGCAGATCTTTTGCACTTATGATTCTGGGTTTGCTGGAGCGGTTTGGTGGGGTATGCTTACGTAACCGCTTACAAATCGGGGTGTCCATCATGTTTTTCGCTTAGTATTCGGACACCGGTGCTCGTATACTGGAACTCGTATAATTTTCATTTACCGCAAAGATAATCCGGCAAGGGCGGCATCTAACACAGGACCCATTCCCATTCCCCATATTGGCCCTGCTAGCTAGCCCCTCTAGGAACTACCGCCGTGCCCTCGATACATTCATGCTTTTCTCAATAGTTGGTGTTATATTTTGCCAATTAACACGCTGAGAGGAGAGAGATTTATATATACAGGTCGATCTTTATTTAGGATTCATTTCTCGTCGTGCCACTCCTCTACTCGCCCGATAGCTCCCCTCATTGATCTTCGAGAGAGCGAGTACCAGAGTTCTGACACTACAGATCCCAGTCTACTCAGCCCTGAAGGTGGAATCCACAATTGTCAGTCCTTCTGGGCAAGGCTGACAATTGTGGAGAATCCAGCACCACGCCGATTCCACATTCAGCTTTCTTCCTAGCTCGTGCTCTTTTCAATTCCCCAAATATACCCGGCCTCTATATATTTCCACTTCTTCCCGTCAGCTGAGTTACTGTCCAAGGAATTCTGCACTTAGGAGCCGTCAGCTTCAGCTGCACATTGCCACTCAACGGCACAGTTCACACACTTGTTATTCCTCTGTCGACGACATATATACTTCCTCCAACTGCAATCATCCTGAATCTTGCAGAAGTCTCATATCTCTTCCTCTACCGACGAAATGGCCGACGCCGTACCTAAACCAGAGGAGCCCGTCTCCAATGACGCACCCGCCTCCAACGACACCCAGCAACAACAAGAAGAACCCAATTCCCAGAACGAAAAGTCCGAACAAGAGCCAGAAGCACAGGATGGCGGTTCCCACCACGCAGACCAGGAATCCGAAGCCGTAGGGAAGCGCTCGAAGAAGGGCAAATTGAAGGACAAGGTCGATGAGAAGAAAAAGAAGGCTTACGAGATGGCCAACCCCCCGGGTGGATACGACTCGACGCCCGTCCCGTCGGCTCCAGATGGATACACCGTCAAATTCACATTCGTCCGTGCCGAGAACCTGCCCATTGGAGATCTGGGCACGGGGTCTTCGGACCCGTGCGTGATAGCGACCTTGACGAGCCATGGGATAAAACCGAGACACAAGGAGGACCCTGAGATGAGACTGCGGACAAGGACGATCCAAAAGGATACCAATCCTGTGTGGAACCAGGAGTGGATCGTGGCAGGCGTGCCGAGCAGTGGCTTCAAACTGAAGTGCCGCCTCTACGACGAGGATGCCAATGACTCGGACGACCGACTTGGCAACGTGACCGTGGTGGTGCCACACATCAGCGAGAACTGGGAGGGGATGCGCGAGACTAGCTTCCCGGTCAAGAAGCGGATGGGCAGCTGGCGCGCGTATCTCCTAAAAAGCATCACGACGATGTGTGGCAGCGATGGTGATCTGTCGGGTCAGCTGTTCTTGAGCATGGAGGTGCTGGGAAAGAGCGATAAGCCGTATGGGAAGATGTATACCGTGGGACCTACGGGGTGGACAAAGCACTACAGTCCCATGATTGGACGTCTAGCTGGCACCAAGGCGCCAAAGATGGAGGGACATGAAGGCGAGAAGGCCAAGGTTGAAAGATATGAGTAAGTCCGCTCAGTCTCCAAGGGCATTTGGAGCCGCTTCAGTCACCATCCCAGAACTAACCAGCTACAGTTTCCAAGCCAACCAGATGCAACTGCAAGGCCCTGTCCCCGACGAACTCTACCACCGCTTTGTAGAATTCAAACCCTTCGTCAAGGGCATGTTCGACAAGACTGGCCTCCGCGGACACGTGCTAAACGCCGCCCTCCACCACCAGCACGCGCGCGTCTACAACTACTCCAACACCACCACCCACGGCACCATGGAACCCAAGTCCCAAGAAGCCGCGCTGCAGTTCCTCAAACTCGCGCACTTCGACGAAGGCAGCCGCCTCTTCACCTACGTCCTCACCCTCGACGGGCTCCTCCGCTTCACCGAGACGGGTAAGGAATTCGGCATCGACATGCTCAGCAAACACACCATGCACAGCGATGTCAACGTCTATATCGCCTGCTCGGGCGAATTCTTCATCCGCAGACTCAAATACAAGAATAGCAGCCCCGAAGATTCAAGCCAGCAGACCCACCCCACAGACGACATCGAAGGCGGACCACCGCACTCCCCTCCCCCCAAGGACCCATCGAACTACGAACTCGTAATCGACAACGACAGCGGTACCTACCGCCCTGACGGTTCGCTCCTCCCCGCACTCCAGTCCTTCCTCGAAGCCAACCTCCCCGGCCTCAATATTGTCACCAAGCCGTGCACGGACGACAAGCTGCAGCGCATGAAGAAGGAGCAGCGCGAGACGAAGAAGAGGCAGGGCGAGCAGATACAGGTGTACCAGGGCGATATCAATGGGGGCTGGAGCTCGAGTGATGAGGAGAGCATGGATGAGCGCGCAAAGGGGAAGAAGAGTAAGAAGGATAGGGTGTTTGATGCGATTGAGGATCCGGAGGCGGCGATTAGGGGGTTCAGACATGGGGGCAGGCCGAAGAGGGAGGAGAGGGAGGGGGAGGAGGATCGGGTTGATTATACGGTTGAGGCTGGGGAGGGGGAGGCGAAGAAGTGATGTTCGACCGATCGATAGTGATGGTCGTTAAGTCGGACGCGTGGAGGCTTTTAGTGCCATTGCTTTGTATATGGGCTTCTCTACTACTTTATTTTGCGGGCGGGTTTTCGTTTGTTTGCCATGGATGCGGAGGGATTGCAGGAATATTTTGTTGTTAATACGCGGACACCCAGATGGCGGGTGATATACACGGCCTTGCGGCTACTTATGCGTTTTCTTTTTATCTTGGGGGTAAGGGATGCATGTCTTGCTTGGGAGCAACTGCGATGGGGGGTGTTCACATTTTTCTTTTGCATGCATTGTTGCCAGTCGAAGAGAGCTATCTCAAGTTCAGGATATTCACCATTACTTTTTCTCTTTGTGCCAAGTTCAGTCTTCTTCCGTGTATCTGAGTCCAGATATTGGTACTTCATGGAAAGAATTGAGGATATTTGGCCTTGGCTAAGTTGGCGACCTTGAGCTTGAGCGGCATACCAGGCTATAAGTGCAGGCTGAGTGCACGGTGTAATGGCGGGTGCACCAGATGTGAGAATCTAGCCACCTAAGGAAGGGATGATTTTACTAAGACAACACACTGTCTTAGGAAACAGAGCCAAAGGGTTGTAGCTTAGACTATTCCACAATGCAGCAATCAGGTGTACGATGTAGTGAAGTGGTTTAGACAAGTTGTAACAAATGTTAAGTCTGGGAACTCAGGGGTAAGTCAGAGGTTAGCACCTCACTGACTTTTCAGAAACAAAGAATAACAAGATCAATGCTTGGAAGCTTGGAAAAGACATAGAAGTATGTGCTAGTCGATTTACTGTATTGTCTGCTTGCCCTTTCTTAAGGAAAGGGCAATCCTATTTATGCTAAAGGAGTGTAGTTCTCTCATTTTCCAATACTTTCCATGACTAACCAGGCTTGGTAACTGTAGTCGATGTAAGAGAATCCCATAGAACCATCTCTTGTTCTATGGGATTCTCTTATGTTCACTACATGATTAGCAAGCTAGTTGTAGGTCGCACTTGATTTCTAATACAGTTACCAAGCCTGGTTAGTCATGGAAAGTCTTGGAAAATGAGAGAACTAGCCTATAGGAAGTGAAAGGAGGTCCAAGGTCAGAGTACCCCTATAGACAAATTATGTCAGAACTTAACCAATCTTGTGGGTAACTAAGGAGCGATGACGTGTAATGAATCATAGAGGGTTGTAGAAGCTTCTAGATCTATCGTTCATGTTCCTAGGTCTCTAGTTGATAGAGATATGTCATGTGGTAGTATTGGCCCACCCCCTTAAGGAGGAGATATTTTTAATAACTTGTTCAATGAGTGTCCAAATGATATGCCGTGATGTATGTAGCATAAACAGATGTAGTATAGGAGTTGCAGCTATCGTTGAGTAGTATTGCTCTTGTTGTTGGTGTGATAAGCCAAGATATGTATGGTGACTTGTAGGTTTGAGGAGGAGATTTCTAAGTTTGCTCTTGAGTTTGATAGCAAACTGAGTGCAACAAATGTCAGTATGACAGATAGGGGCGTAGTTGGAGGTCTCTGCATATAGAGAGGCAGTGAGGAAGCTGACTACCTTGTTGCAGAGGTCGTGGGTGAAAGTGCGCTGCTCTGGGAGCTTGTAGGAAGACACAAATCCTGTACTGGCGAAATCATACATGACAGTGTGTTGAATTATTTTGGTTTCTCTGTCAATAGCATTAAGCTGGCCACAAATGGCTGCTGTTGCTTCGTAGCTCTTGGGCGTGCTTTCACCTAAACAGAGGCGAGGAGGGGGCACAGTATGCATACTGAGTGTCCTCTGCTGTCTCTTGGAAGTGTGATTGAGGTTGGATGGTGATTGTGGGTCCTGGGGCGGGTAAAAGCGCTGTCTTGGGGGCCTGGATCTGGCTGTTGGGGGTTGAGTCCTCTATCACCACCTAGAATGGCCCGAAAAGGGCTGGAATGGATGGGGATGGGAGTTTAAATTACGTAATTGACTGGAATTAGATCCCTAGGGGTCTTGGGGAGAAAGTTGTGAGCAATTTGTCAATTTGGAAAAATAGTTGTAGGTGAGCAACATCACTAGCATCATCGGCTGGCAGCACACTGCTGTCCTTTCAATTTTCCTCCAAGCTAAGATCCTAAAGCACTTTCAGAACTATGGCAACAATGACTCTGAGAACTTTTGGCGCCCAAAGATTGCAGAGGGTGTTGACAACATGTCCGAGAGTGATAGGGAAGTGGAGATGGAACTCTACTAGCGAAAACAGATCCATTACTTTAAGCTGTCGCTCTTTGTTAGGATTATAGGGTTTGCCATTAGGCTTGAAAGTAGCATCTAGTTCTATAGGTTAGGGCTAATAACTCTTTGTTTGTCTTCTCTTCTAAGTCTAGTGTTAGTTAAGTAGTCCCCCATTCTTCTCAGTTGCTGTTTATAGTGACGATTGTCGATCTTCTAAGCCAATTCAACCATCTCCCTAAGGTCATCTGGTTTGTTAGACCTTGAGATTTCATCCTTTACATGGCCCTTTAGACCTGTGTAGATTTGGTCGCAGATAGCCTCTTCTCCCTAGTTAGTGAGTATTACAGTGTCGGTCGCAATCGGGGTGTTTCCTCTTGCTGGTTCTATGTTACGGCTATAGTAACATGATGTCATGGTTACAGGGCCAGGGCCTAGTAACGTGACGTGTGAGTCACAGTGGGAAGCGGGGTAGGCTGCCATGTGACGTGTAACGCTGACTTCTAAACGATAGAAGACACAGAGGTTCTCTTGCGTAAAGGTTTACTTATCAGAGGAGGCAGGGGATCAGACACAAAGGCTTCAAGTAACACGTTACTAGTATATAACAAATACTGTATTGAGTTGAGCACGAAGCTCCTATCTAAGGAAATACTATCTACTTATATAGTGGCGTCGTGCCTAGTGGACTCTTGGGAACTCACTCGAGTCCTCGGAGTCCTGGACTCTTAGGACTCTTCTCATCATCCTGCGAGTCCATCACGTGCCTAGTGGACTCCTGGGAACTCACTCGAGTCCTCGGAGTCCTGGACTCTTAGGACTCTTCTCATCATCCTGCAAGTCCGTCACGTGATACTTTCGGAACTACTATTCCCCGCTGCCCCTCCAGGTACCAGGGCCGGTCTCATGCGACCTCCCTCCTTCCTGTCCTGTAGTTGGCCAGCCTTCTTGTTCCGTCGTAACACTATACAGCTAGGGAATAGAGCATGGATGTCAATTATCTCAGGAGTTAATTCATATAGATGGGCACTCCTGCTGTTCATTATTTTCAAGGCGTAGGATCACCTCTCTGCTTAGTACGAGGACTTGGGATTACCACACGATTAGGTGATTACACTAAGTGAGGATGGGTGGACTTTAAATTCAATTAGGTACAAGTGGATTCAACACTTTAATCAACATACAAATGGTCGTTCGATCAGAACCTATCACCTTCTTATTCTCAACAGACATAAGAGCCAGCTCTTAGCTTAATTTCAACACTACTATAATAAGTTTATATAAATCATTTAATGCTTTATAAGCATTATGTTCTGCTTGTGAATTATAGCCTAACTTATTAAACCCTACTTGTTTAAGTCTAGGGTCTAATAAAGTAGCTATAAATAAAGGAGCATTATTTTCCTCATAATGCTTAATATTTTCTAAGTTTTGTAAGTCCATCATTTATAGCTTGCTTTATTTTCAAACTCATAGAGCGAGTTGGCCACACAAGCCAGTTGGACAGCTTTCCTTGGCATTGCACGAACAACTTCACTTTCCATTTTTAAAATCAAAACAAAATGCCTCTTACTTGGAAAGAAAGCGATATGGTTCTTGCATGTCAGGCGCTTCGATCAAACCCTAAATTAACGGGGGGCATATGGCAGCTGTAACTGCTGCAAATGGCATGCACATAGAATACTAGGCATTTAGTATAGATTTATATTGTCAATTAGATAGCTACTATACTCTTTATTCTACAGAATTCATTCCTCTCATTCTTACATGCGTTACGCATGAGAAAATCGGTACTTTGGACAAAATTGCCAAGCCAGCCTGCGCAAGGGCCCCTAGCTGGGACCTACTCACAAAACTTATCGCCAGTACATAACGAGCGATCTCACGAACGCACATCGCTTACCACCACGATTATGCTTTGGGTTTGGCGCTAGCAAGACGGAGCCCGCTAGCATGGGGGTGTTACAGGGGGCTATAGGGGGTGGTGTAGATCGTACTGCTAACGGTATGTAATCATGTTAGGCAAAAGATCTATATACCCTGTTTGACCCCCGTAAAGATCTATACAAGTATGCCCTGTTTCAGTATGGAGTCATATTTTATAGGGCAAAAACTCCATCTACCCGGTACAAAGGTGAAAAAACGCCATCTACCTGGCAAGCACTTATCCCCTTTCGGAACCCGCAACAGGCCAATGAGAGCACGTACTCTCATGTGGCCTTTTCGAAACAATTGAGCTGGCAACACTTGCCAACTCAATTGTACGGTAAGTCGGGGTTAATTGAGACCCCCAAAGCTCCTTTCCTCCCTCTTCCCCTTCCATCTAGAGCCCCGCTGACCCCTCCTAGGATCTCTCTCTCCTCGCTCCTCTGACCCTCGAAACCCCCCTCGGAAGCCCTCGCGCGAGGCACAAACTCCCGCCTCCCCGCCCCCGCCCCCGCATCTGACGATGGCCTCGCTGGCCGAACTCGCTGTCCCTGTCGACGGCAGCGAGTTCCTCGACTTAGACGCTTGGTCCCGCGCCCTAGACGACTGGGCCGTCAAGGAGAAGTTCTCCTGGCGGCTCCAGAGGAGGGACAAAGACCGGGCAACGGCCGTTTGTCCCGAGGAGGGCTGTGCCTGGCGTGTCCGAGCCAGCCCTGACGACGAGCAATGGAAGCTCGTCGTCATTGAGGGGCACACACTTGCATGGGGAGGGGGCAGCAGAAGTTTGCCTCCTCCTCAAAGGCAGAATGGCTGGACGGCGTGGTCTCTCGACACCTACGGTGTCGAAGAAGACCACGCCAAGGGAGATTGTTGAGCTCCTCCGCGTTCGATTCGCGGAGGGGATTCTCTACGGGGGGCGCAGCAATCGTTGCTACGCCTTCTCGTAGGGGATATTGGAGTGCAGAGGCATAGCTTTCAGCTATTGCCCTCATATAAGCGCCTCCTGGAAGCATCTGCTCTAGGAGTTCATGTTGATCTCGTTCGAGATCGACACGACCGATTCCAACGGATCTTTGTGTGCCCTGCGGAGAGCAGGGCCACGTTCCAAGCCTCACGCCGGCTTGTTGCGGTGGACGGGACCTTCTTAAAGGCCCGTTTCATCCTTACTCTTCTTGTGGCCGTTGGCATTGATGCTAACGGCCACATTGTGCCACTTGCTTGGGCAGTGGCCGAGTCGGAGAAACGCGGACTCTTGGGAGTGGTTTTTGAACCACCTCAAGTGGTCCCTCCCAGAGCTCGTGAGCGAGCCAAGCACCCTTGTCTCTGATAGAGACAAGGGCTTCTTATTGCGGAGAGAACTCTCTCTCCGCAGGTGGTGATAGCTCATTGCTGTCGTCACCTCTCTGAGAATTTCTCAGAGCGGTTTGGGAGGGGCCTTCTACCCCTCTTCTGGAA